TTTCTTTCGAATTTCTTTCAACTGAATATGTTTAAATGTGTCTTGAATAGCATAACAAATCTATATATATGTGAGCAAAAGTGTCGTGAAGCCACTTGCCATTATTGGATTATCGTAAATGCACGCACACGCATACGTTATATCATCAACATCTTGTAAACAATTCTATTTACGAAGCTTAGATTTATAGATCTTGTTACGTGCGAAATATGACACGCAGAATTTTTCCATAAATTTTTATCACATATCTGCGCACTTCTTTTTATTTTAAAAGAAAAATTTTTTACGAGAGCAAAAGTTAATTAGATTAAAATTGAGTTAGTTTAAGTTATGTAATTAAAAAATTTTTTATTCATTAACTACAATTTATTAGAATTATGAACAGGATTATCGACATCTCTTCAGCTTGTAAAAATATAAAAATCGTTATCTCATGTAAGATATCAATAATGAAGCTATAATGATGATACTTATCTTAATTTTTCTTACTTAATGAGAAGTAAAAATTTATACAGAACATTATGAACATTTCCGATGAAATCAAAGAGAATATTCATTTTACAAGTTTATCGAGATATATCTAGTTTGACGGCAAATGTAGTTCGTGGAGTAGACTCGTGGACGATCGGCGGGATCGATAAGAGGGTGAGAATTATCGAAGAGAAGCGGACGCGCGACTTTTGGTTCGCTGGATAAATCGTAGTTATACCGGACATCGCGTATTGACCAATCAAAGCTCGTTTATGTACTTGATGGTCGTTCCAACTCCGATAGCGCCTCTCGAATCCCTTTTCGAGCACGAATCTAAATTGATGTTTCGAATCCAACGAAACCGATGTGTATTTTCGGGAGAAAAATTTTTCGGAGCTCGAATCGATCGTGAAACCTTTCGCCGATCCCTTTTATCATAATATTTGAAAATCAAGTTTATACAAATCAAAATATTTCGTCTCATCGTATATCGGTCGGTCTGCAAGACATAAACAATTAGCAGTTGCGAGCTTTCAGACAGTTTACAGAAGCGTCGTTTCACTCCGGTTTCTGGACAAAATCTCAGAGCATAAACATTTATAGCACGGGTAAATATCGGAGCAGGGGAATATCCCTTTCTTTCTTCCGGATGTTTTTCTCGTACGGCGACGTGCATACCATCATGGTAATTTGCAGTGAATCCGAATAACGTAGAAATATGCATGGATGGCAAGTGAAACACGGTCCGATATGCACTTGGCCACTAATTGCACTAATTAGACTGCACTAGTTTGCGATTCGAACGCAATTTAATCAACTTTAAAACTCGAAGCTTGAGAAAAGGAATAATTAATGACAATTAATTCTGAGAAAATACATTCTGTACGTATAAAAGTGAAAACAAAAAACAAAATTCAAAGAAAAACAAGAGACAAAGGAAAAAAATATGAAAAATTCTATTTCAACGTTACTGTCTATTAAAAAAATGCGATTATGTAGATTTTGATTTTGATTTTTCTTTGATTAAAAATTAAAGAAACTTGATTTAATTATTATAATTTTTTAATTAATTAATCGGCTGCTTTTGTGTTGAGTCTTTTTGAGGCTTCTCAATTTATTATTGCGTGAAAAAGATCGATGCAAGACGCCTCACGGAAACTAACTGTCACCGCCGGAAGCGCTAGATCTGTGCTAGGGCAGCACCAGGAAGTACGACCGGTAAATAATATGAGGATGGAATCGAATATGCAGACAGAATGCTTAATCCCGCGGTTACTGACCTCCGCCTTTCAGCAGATTTATGTGAGCTCATTTTATCGGCGCACTCATTTTGTTGTTATCGCACTGCAAGTTGATCTTTTTAACACATCTATTTCCGCAGATTCAAGCAACTCAATGTAAAATACATTGCGTAACTGGCTCTTATTTTGTTTTGCTAATGCACAATAATTAATTATTAATATCCAAATATATCCAAAGCTAATAATCCCACATGAAGAATAAAATAAAGAAAAAAAGTAATAAAAATTAAAAAAATAAATAAATATCTTTTGCGCGAAACTTTGTTTAAAAGAGATCACTTCTAAGAATCGTTTAAAAGAATTCACGTCTGATCGAATGATTGATACAATTATTTGATAATATAGAATGAAATATTTGCCAATATTGAACGATGGATAGTTGAAAAGCAAAAATTTCCTTCTTGGAACTGTCTTTCCTTCAGGCGGGAGAGAAGAATTCATGGGGGAAATATATTCTTTCGATGAGGCCGTAGGAAGTGCATCGATACAACTGCCTGCGACCTCGTGTCAACATATGGACGGATATTTCCGTTTCGTGCCGAAGGAGCGACACACGCTGTGCGAGGCGCTTGCAACGGAAGACACGTGAAAACACATTCCAGAAACAAATCTTTAAGCTTTACATTTCGCATATCTATCTTACACACCTTCCACGACACGTCGTAAATGATTCATTGAAGAAACAAATTAACGCCTGTTCGCTTGTTCTTAGACACGTCGCGCTCCTGAAATGGAGATTCGTGTAAAACGTCATTTCTTGCAATGGCACAACGTTTGCCGATGCAATTTTCAAGAATAGATATAAAAATAAGAGTGGGAGTTTTGATGATCCACCTTGCGATACAAAAATTTCTCATTTCTTATTTATGCTCAAAATAGAGTGTGAAAATAATATTTCATTTCTGTAGAATATAATACAAATAGATAAAAGCTAAAAAAAGTTTTCGATCAAATATACCTAGTTGTGAGGTTAATTAACAGAGATAACAAAGATAATTGTTTATCACAAAGCATTCTCTTGCTTATTTGTACATATTTTATTGCCGGTATCGCAGATGGAATTATTAATTTTGACTGCTGCGTAAGTATCTACGATTCATTTCCGGTTGTAATTAAAGAGCGGCCGGATGCTGGCTGAGGTCATATTTTCGCTGTTAAATGTGTGTTACAATCTCGTCTGCTTAACTTTCTTAATTCTAAATTCTAAGATTATATTACTCGATAGTTTATGTTACATGTGTATGTATTTATTCGTAGATGTCTCTGTACAAATCTGGATGCATACAGACAACAATATAAACGAAATATTAATTGTAGCGATAATTATTAATTTTTTTGGAGTTAATAATGTATTTGGAGTTAATAATGTATGATTTATTAAAATTAATATGTTTACGATCAAATAATATTAATCATATTATTTTAGTTATTTAACATGTTAATAAAATATCGACATGTATAAACATATTAATATTTAATATTTGGTAAATTTTATTACATACTGAAGTATTACAAAAGTAAATTTATTGGAATTTAAATGAAAAATGAGGCATTTTGTTTGTTTGCTGTTTAGAAGCATGATTTGCTACTTTATATAATTTATAATTTATAATTATTTATTATAGTTATTTACATTCCAACCTTTTTATTAAAAAAAAAAAGTAAATTTGCATACGAGGACCTTTCTGTAACTATAGTCCATGTAACTGTAATCACGTAATATCGTAAATTTGGGAGTTTCATGATCTTGTATGTGATTGGTCGTACAATCGGCACGATCAACCATTGAAAAATGACGAAGTCGTTCGTCGAATACTAAAAGTTGTGAACTTCCGGAGCGGACTTCATCCGACTTAGGCGTGTGCGTTTATCTGCGAACCGGTCTCGGATTTTATTCTTTACGTGATTATGAGATCGCCGGATATCCTTTATGGGCTATTTATGTTAACTTGGATTTGAATTTTAGAGATAAACTGAATTAACTAACGAAGTAATTTGTAATAACACGCGTGTACGAAATTTATTTTCAGATAAAATCTGTACTATTAAATTATTAATAGCATTATCATTGTCATTAATAATAGATTTTCTTTTAGAGATTCTTTGATCAACTTAGAAAGTTATATAAATAGATTTATAATTCATTAAATTGCGATTTATTTTTATATTATAAAATGTTTTTTCAAAAACTTTTTAAAAATTAATTTTATTTATTATATTTGTCTAATAGTTAGCATATTATCATGATTATATCATATTTGGTCTAAAAACACACACACCAAAATAATATATTTTGTCTAAATACGGAATTAAGAGATAGATTTATTATATCTTAACTAAAAAGTTAAAGTTTATTAGTGAAATCAATTTAAATACAATTAAGATCATCTTATATTTTTCAAATAGAAGCACTTAGCACTATTTCTGTATAAAAGCCATACAATAAATATGACACTGTCTACAATCGTCACTTTGCAGCGGCGTAATTAAAGCCAGAGTGATTCGAAAGTGTCTTCTGAATGAAAATTGGAGAACAATCGATGCAATAGAGCGATCGAAATAGTGTCGTGGTGCTTCGACTTTTATAACACAGCAAACGTGATTCGCGCTTCATGCGGGCGTGTGACAAACGGGACGTGGGAATGCGAGAACTCTTCAAACGAGTGCGTAATCCTCATAGAAATAACAGTCATCGTTCGTGATGGAAAAATCATTCGTGCGACTCACACAGCTCAATAAGTCTCTCAATGATTTTGCGCCTTTCTCGAATTCAAATGCAAAAGTGTGTCTTCGATCGAAGAAAAGTTAAGAGAAACTTATCTGATTATCGGATAGGAGATTACTAATCGAAAAGCCAGAATTACGGTACAGTATTACAGCTAAAAAGAGTATCTTACTAGGAAATTTGTGCTTTCGCGATAAGTTCAATTCAGTTCCTTTTTATAACTACTTCGGGAAGTGGGAGCACTTCCGAGTAGATTTGAGCTACAAAAGGTAATTTCGAACTTTTTATAGGCACTTGTAGAAACGGAAATGGTATTTCTAAGCGATCTGAATTGAAGTTAATTCGGATTTATATCAAATTCGATTCTGTTTGTAATTATGATTTTGACATAATCTATAAACAATTAGCAACCTGCATTTCATTCAATAACAAGATTCATAACGGTAATTTTACAAAAGCTTGATGAAATGGAAGAGTCGAGATTTAAATTTGTCTGTACTCACCTTTATTAGACGAGCTCTTGTGTTTTTTACGTCTGGTTCTGTTGCTAGATAATTGTTTGCCCTCGTTGCAATGCACGCCATCGATATTGTCGACGCATAGAGTTGCCATTGTATCTGTTTCCAATAGATTCCTGGGTCCTCCCGTTCTTCCAGGAGCTACGACATTACCGGATGCGCCTGTTTCTTTCCCGAAAAAAGTACCGATCGAGTGCCTTCTTCGATTGGCGGTTGAGGGAAGAGTTGAGGAAACATTGTAATATCTGAAAATTACCCATTATATATTCCACATCTTTCATGCACACATGGATTTACAGCTTAAAATTATTAATTAATTAAAAAAAAAATAAAAAGATAAAATAAAATGATAATATTTTTACTAACCTGGCGTCGTCCATGCCAAAGAAGACTTCTGCGGTATCGTCATCGTCGTTGCTGTTGTCATCATCGTCGTTACGAGCTTTGGAATTGCCCGTTAAACCGCAATACACCATATCGTTGGACAGAAGTTCGCTGGCAGATTTCAGGACTCTCCTAGGTCGGCCAGGATGACGCCGATCTTTCTCGGAGTGCGAATGTGATCTATATTAACAAGACAATTTTATACATATTTTAATTTACATATTTTATACATAATTTAATAACAATTTTACACATATTTTACTTTATTAATACATTATTTTACATAATCATATAATACGTTTCATTTAATACATGTTTTTAATAAGAAGACAATTCGAACTAAAGAATTCGAATGCAAATAGCCAAATAAATTAGATTAAATGTATGTGATTGACGTGCGTCTTAATATTCGTAAAGACAGTGACGTTTTTTTTTTTACCTGTGAGGTAAGTATGGTGACGGTGGCGCAACGTCGGACGGTCTTGGGTCACCTTTGAGGAACTTTTGTGTCTTCTCGTGATCCGCATTCGCGCTCACGGACCGGAAGAGATTGCGGAAGCTTCTCCTCTTGCCGCATCCGGGATGGATCGCGCCGTTTCGCGATAGCATCGGAACACGTTCCTCTATCGGCGTCGATGGCGTCGATGTGCCCGACGCGCTACCGCGACCATCGTGAAGCATCAACGCGTTGGACGTGGACTCCGAGATCAGGACGCCACCCTGAGACGAAGCCGCGCCCATTTTGCAGGCTCTCCGGCGAAATAAAGCGGAGAAACCCCTGGGCGATGTCGGGGATACCAACGTCGTCGTCGTCGTCGCCGTCGTCGCCGTCGTTGTCGGTTTCGTCGACGACGATGCCCCACCGGACAGCGAGAAGTATGACGGATTATCTGTAAACATACGGATCGAACGGATCCCAGTCACGAAATTAATTCACTCACTGGACACTCTCTTCTTCAATTGTCTGCTGACAGGCTTCTGAGAAATTATTAGGTCCCTGTGGCATGTGATCTTCATACGTCACTATTTCGTAGGTGAACGTTACCTTGAGGCGAATCGACGTTGCAAAAGATACGAGATTGCGCGAATTTCCATTTGCATGGAATTTCCATTTGAGATGTCCATTATTATACAATTAAGAAGGATGTGTATTATATACTGACATTGTTAATCGAGTCAGATGTTAATCGAAAAGAACATCACGTTCCTGATTAATTAGCATATTTATTAAACCCCTAATAAATAGGAGTAATTAATTAGTTTAAATAATTAATTAATTAGTCTAATGTATTTAATATCAAATTATCAAGTTCGATATCTGATTTTTTTTCGCTCCACTCGCATCGCATCAAGATATTAATGAAGATCTAGACTGAATGTTGAGTATTGTCCACATATATTTTTCGATACGATCCACGCTCAGCTGTGACATCGACATCGCGCACATGATTGTGAAGGATGCACTCGTCGAATCTGAGATTAAAATGTCATTCGAAGTGACGTTTACTCCTATCGCGAACCGAAGCTGTGCTACATTCGCGGCTAAACTAATAGAGAGTCCACCTGTGACTGTGGGAGCTGTATTACATTCATGGGACACCATGGAGCCTTGCTACGAGCATTGGATTCGGTCACGGTGGGGGGATACACCGGACCGGACGTTGCATTGTCCCCCCACCCGGTGAACCGGCAGGAATACGCGGTAGCTGCGCCGGAAATGCACCACCTCTATTCATGAGCCTCCTTCTCACTCCTCGGCCCAAGAATGGGCATTACCCGGATAAATTTATATCTAGCTTATTTTCGAATAAAATTCTTTCATTTTCATATTATTTATTATTCGCATCATTTTTTACATTAACACTTTTAACACTTTGGGACCACCTATCGATGCTAAACTAACAATTTGTTTTCCTCTATGCGTATAAATCAAACGTGCCGTAAAATGATAGTTAAAGAAAAAATATATTTACAAGTATGTAAGTGTAATTTAATTTTAACACTCGAAATTTTTTCGATCACAATAGCAAAAATATATTCGAATTATGTTATATTATTTATGTTTCGAGAAGTTAAACCGACACTGTGTTAAATTGCCTTGCAGATTACATTCGCGATTTTGACCAACAAATGTCGCGGGCAAGCTACCGCTTGCCTGTGAATGAAAATGAAGGATATGAGGGACGCGTGATTATGCGTGAACGACGTGTCCCGCGTGCCGAACGCACTTCTGAAATCTGTATGCGATCTCCGCGATCTTCGCTGCGATTGCACCGGGAAAAAATAAAACTCACCGACTGCCATGATGACTTTTTCTGGAAGAGGAAATGCGAGGTGAATGCCAAGGGTATCTGCAACACGAAATAAATATATATTATAATTTGTTATTGTGTTATATTCGACAAATAATTAAAAATTTCCCTGTGAAAACATGTATTTTTCGTTACTTTAATTAGAAATAAGAGTCATTATTTAATTTCATAAGAAAGAAAAAGAAGATTGATTTCACATTAATTATGCTATATAATCTTTGCAGATTTCTGGTGAAGAAATTGAAGTTTTAGATTATTTTGCCTGTTAAGTGTAGATTCTGTGTATTAACTTTTCTCGCCTGCTGCTGAAAACTTGTGCTGAAATTTCGATGTCGAAAAGCTCGTTACCGGGATACCGTGAATTCTTTTTCTTCTGAATCAGAAAATTTGCACGCGAGAAAGTGCGAATGTCCGTCGTCTTTCATTCATCGCTGAAAATACGCGCGAATATTATATTTAGCACGGTGAGAGGCGCATTGCGCGCATGGGGAACACGACCCGTTTACATTTGCACGTAGAAGAGGGTGGAGAACGAAGAAATGGGGGTCGAGTGCAAATGCGATGTGATTTCATTCATGTATTATATGCACGTGACATTATCACGTTGTCCACCGTGTATCTCGCATCCGCCGCTATTATCCATACAATGATACTTATCGAGTTGCTTTACAAGGAAATCTCTCCTTTATGAAAAGATTTCTTCCCATACGTAAGCATATTGTGACAATTATAGTCCTTTTATTCAGCAAATGGCACAATTTAGCTTTTTGTTTACCTATTTCAATCTTATCCAATTCAATCTATATTCAATCTTTACATAACTTTTTAACATAAATATAAAAAAATTGTACACACAATTGTACAGAAAATATTGATTAATATTTAGCATTTAAATAAACAATTTGAATAGCTCGTCAATTTAATATAACTAATGTTATTACTAAAAATTAATATGAAAATTAATACTAAAAATTAAATTAAAGTACGGAGCTTGTACTCTGCACAATTTTCATGCTGTACAATTGCTATTTAATTTTGTCAATCCATGTGATGATATTAGTTAGAAACTGGCAAATTCTTCGAATTTAGTTCAGCAAATACACGACGCAAGCACAATTTTCTGCCCTCATAGTTGCTGCAACAGTTACTATTTTCGTACGACCAGGAGAAGCAGAACGTGTGCCTGGTAGAGGTAAAGATAAATAGAAGGGTGAAAGAGAGAAAGAGAGAGAAAGGGTAGAAGAAGATTGAAAGAGAGGAGATGGGATAAGGTGATTGTACCCATGAAAAGTCAAAAGTCTTCCTTTAATCAAATTATAAAGAAATAAAGATTGCAATATGATTATCAAAATATAATTTTTTGAAAATAAAGTTAATAATTTTTGTTTTAGATTTAAATAAAATGAAAATGTTTTGAACATTATTTGTAACAAAATTAAATATTAATTTTTAGTATAATAAATTAGCGAGAAGAGCAATTATAAATTAATTATTATTATATTTACACAAAAAATTAAATTTTTTAATACTGGGATATAAATAAAAAAGATATGGATCATAATTGTTAATTATATTGAAATTTACTTATTAAATTTTGAGAAAATAATTACAAAAGAGCTTATAGAAATTATGAATCGTAGGTGGTCCAACAAAAGATACGATTTGCATTTTATAGTCTGTTTGTTCTAAAAGAGATAATTGAAGCGGAAGTAATATACTAATATTAATTGCGTGTATGGATAATAACGTGCCTCGTAAATAAGAGACCTTTCACGTTCAACGATGTCTTCTATTTCGATTATCCCTTAGCAATCGTCTCGCGCAAATACCATGAAATAATTTCGCGGATCCAAAGCTACCAAGTCATATCGCTTGACGCATAAAATGAATTCTTGAAAATGCCAAAGGTTCGTCAGTAGTCAGTCGTATTTTGCAGAGGCTCGAACGGTAAATGCTCCCGAAGTTAAAACGCGGTTTCTCGAACAAATCACACACATTCGTCGCTATTAATAGAGGTCTGTTCCTGCGACCGTCGCGCGGTACACCGCCGCGTTGCGTCGCGCCCTGCATCTGCACCTGCAGCGACGCATGGTCCGATAAAAAGAAGCCTGTATCCGGCGGTGTGCACGTGCCCCTGTAAACGCGCACATGTGCGGCACACGCTATATCCAGAATGCAGCACGTTGTTCGAGACCATAAAGACGTGGCTTAGCCTGAGCGTAATCGCGAGGGTTTCTTGCCTGGAGGAGCGACTTGACTCCCTTTCTGCTTATTTTTTCGCTTCTGATTCATCCCATCTTTATTATCGTTTCTCGAATTTGTTACTCTGTGTGGAAAAAAATCGAACCCGAATTGTTTCTTATTAGCAAAAAACTAAATGAACTTTCTATTCGGGGAATTTTCTGATAATCTGAATCTAGAAGATAAGAAATAATATAAACAGATAATAATGACAGATAAAGGAGAGATCCAAATGGATGGAGGGAAAGAAGGTTTATTTAAGATTTAAGAAATATTTTTAGTATCAAAAATTTTGTATTTTTGAATTGAGAATTTTTATTTAAATATTTAGTAAATAACTTTATTCAATAACTCATGTTTTTTTCTTAATTTTATTAAAATACTCATCGATGTTTTTCATTTTATGAAACTAAATTATATATACTGAATAAATAAATGTATGAATCCTGCTAATAACCTCATCGTTAAATTAAAGTTAAATAAAACATAAAAAAAGTTGATAAAAGCATTTTTTAATATATACTATGTGTATGCATATTGATTTATCAAATATGCTACATTCGGATTACTTTATATCTCGCTAATAGAATATCCGCTTATATATAAGCTGTTCTATACGGGCGTCCTAAAAATATTCATTGCTAAAATGTAAAATGAAAGTGCTTGGTACAAAAGTGGAATTTTCATGAGACAAATTTACTCCTCCGACGTAAATCAATTTTACATAGTACGCCGGAGAGTACGAATATGTAAATATAAGTCTAATCGATTTATCACACACCTGCGGACTCACCTTCAATATTTCACCGTTAATGCTGTCTTCGTTGTTCAATTTTTGTTCGTTCTATAATTTGCTTGAGATGATTCTTGACAGATGTTACTTCAGAAAGAATTTGCAACGAACAGCAATCCACTTCATTTCAACACTACTACTAAACAATGTGACTGTATTTTTCGCGAAGAATTGCCAATTCCCATTTGCTTTTTTCTTTTTTCTGTTTTTCTTCTTCTTTTGAATTGCACGTAATACATAATATCTTCTTCGTACAGTTCATCTGTGATTTATAATCTGTATTTACTTCATACATCTTTCTATATACATTTAGAACTTTAATAAAATATTTCTTCGTGAAGATTGCAGATTTAGGACAGTCTTATTTATCGATCGGGGTGAAAAGATTTTAAATTAGATATTATATTATGTACCGAGATGATCGATCGGTAGCTTTAGGTGTTTCTTATCGCATAACAATTAACGTCGGAACAGTATAATTCTGTTTATCAAGATTATTTAACGTATATATATATATATTTGACACTTATTAACATAGTCTATTAAGATTCATCACTGATGATCGAAACTTGATGCTATTCTATTCACTTGATCACAAAGCAAATGTTAAGACAGCGGTATCTTCTTCTCCTTCATGCTTTGTTATCACTTCTACCTCGTCTATCTCGAATCTCGTATCTATCTCGAAGAGAAACTCGCTAGGAAGCGATGTCGCGCGTGGCTTTTTTCTAAACTTCCCAGTTATAGTCTAGGGACTCGAAGGTTTCGCGGGTTCCGTCAGGGTCGTGCTCGGTCAGAGATCTTGCACGGGTACGGCACAACACTTCATGAAGCACTGACAAGCTAGACCAGGAGGGAGTCCCATCGTCGGCGCTACCATATGATCGCTCGCTCGCTCGTTTTGCGCTCTCCTTCTCTTCTTCACTGCCACCACCCACGCATCTGGCAATAGCGCGAAGGAACGCCCATGTATGCCTCGTAAGAAACGTTATTTCGGGATAGACAAGGACGGCGAAACTGAGACGCCGAAGGACGGCTCGTCGACGGTAAAGAAAAACGAACTCACGTGCGTTCTTCTTGACCCTCGCACGAGTTTCTCCCTTGGATTTGGAGAGAAAAATCTACCGCGTTTTGTACACTTCCGGTCAATCTCATATATATATATATATATATATAAATTACGGAAAAATGCAACTAAAATTCGTCGTCACGGTTTATAAATAATTAATGAAATCTTTAAACATTGAAAATCTTTTATTTGGAAATATTGAAAGAATGAAGATGAAACAAAGAAAAACGATGTATTTCTCTTCAAAATCTCGACACGAAACGATTTAGATTTCTCTTTTCGATAAGGATTTTGTAATGTTTCACCGCAAAGATATTAATCGTTAAACACTCAACAACTGAGAGGGAAACGTGAATAATTAAAATACGTACGTATATGCCTATACCTGGATGCCCATTTCAATTTTTCTTGTAGTGAAGAATAGTGCCACGCGCGCACGCTTGCGTGTCTGTCACGCATATGCGTGCGGAAGCGGAGCGGAGCATGTATTTCCTGCCCTCGGAAAGTGCTTCGCATCTCCTTGAACGGCGAAAGGGTTCGACCCTTTCGACACGTTTCTCCTAGCCGTGTCTCGTAAAAAAACCCTTTGAGTAATTATCGTTCCGCAACTCACTCGGTGACTGCTCGATTTAACTGCGACGATAGGAATACACGGTGCTTCATTTGATCGGATCTGATCAAATTAATATATTCATAAAGGCAGAAATTAAGTCTGCAATTATTACAGAGAGCTTCCTGCAATCTTTTGCGGCCCAGCATTAGAATTAAACTCTGATATTGATCTCAAACATTGATCTCCGTAGGGTCCGTAGATGCTTGTCAGAAAAATTCTTGGATTCCGAAGATATTTGCAGAAAAATAAAGTTTTTTTAAATTAATATGTATTTCTCTCTGTTGATATTTTATTATTTGATATTTTGTCGTTTTATCGGGAAATATTTTTATTTCATTGCGGAGAAACTAGATTGGAAAAATGTACGTTACGAATATTTTTTCCAAATTTTAAGAATCTTAGTTGCAAGAAACTTTAGGTACGGAAACTAATCGATTTTAGGTATAGGTTTTAGGTTTAGATGATATAGGTACCTGTACTGTCAGTACCTAACATATGTCGGCCAAATGGTTACAAGTCTCGTCATGGCAAACTATAGAATATTGTTGCTATATCGATATTCGCATTTTTCATTTCTTTTTCGCGTGACATGCTCGTAATGCACCTAGTGAATTTTCAGGGCATGGCCTATTTCTGCGAATTCACAATAAATCATAAAAAGTATGCTCTTTCAATTGTTGATTGCTATTTTTTTGAAGAAAGACATCATGGAATCTTTATCGCTACAAAAATATATTAATTAATTTTAATATATCGATTTTATAATAAATTTTAAAATAATTTGTATTATATATTTAATTAAAAAATTTTTTATTGTAATATATAATTTGTATTATATATTTAATTAAAAAATTTTTATTTTATTTGTTTGTTAAATATTAATTTAAGGAAACGTTTAGAGTAACATTGTAAATGCATACTATAAAATATTAAAATAGATGTTATATGCAAAATTATTTTTTAATCATATGCATGTGAAACAGTTTAATTCTCTTGTTTATATCGTATAGGATGTGCCAGAAAGTCGAAACAGTGGCATCAGCAGTTGCAAATGAAAGTATCGGCGATCGCTGTCCTGTTGTCTTCTCTCAGAAGCGAGGGGAATGTATAATTGATCCATACATTCATTCACGTTTCAATGTGTCTCTTTCTCTCTCTCTCTCTCTCTCTCTCTCTCTCTCTCTCTCTCTGTCTTCCATTTGTCTCTTCTCGTAATTCTTTAGAAGATTTGAATTTCCAATCAAGTTTTTGCGTCTCTCCACAGCTACAAACATTCATGCTTAACTCGGATGTGTCTCGTCTCGTAAATTGAATTTCTTTGGATGATGAATCTATAGACAACACAGTGGAACGCACTTGACATTCTTATATTTTTTTGTGAGAAATTAAATTCCCACTGCGCACTTGACGCGTCGGTGAAATGAAACGAAACGCGTCGCGCCATTGATTCGAACACGCTCGACAGAATTCAATAAACAATTTGTTCTCGGAAAAAAAAGATCCTAGAGAATAGACGAACCGTACTAATTCTGCTTCCACAGTCGGTAAAGTGGCGATATATAAAAGAGATTCAAGGCTGTTTAACCGCGAGTGAAAGCCGCGGGTCTCCACAGTCTCGCTGACGTGAGACGAGGAGCTCAATGTCGTATGGTGCTCCTTGCAATACGTACGATATTCGCGATATTCCGAAAGCGAAAAGTCGCAGCAGTTTCGTTTCAGAGGATCATTGGGACCACACGTGACACCGATCTTCGCGCTCGTAAGTGTTCCTCCGGGATTTTCCATACGCGATCTTCTCGAAAGGAGAAGCGATTCCACGGAGTGATTCCAGTCTCGTTAGCCTCGAAAATAATTCTCAGCACAAGAGTCTTGGCGATAACGGTGCTTACATAAGAGCAAATGCACGGATCGTTATACTATCGGAATCGTTTATTGACGGGATAAACACGAGCACTTTGTGCTGACTCGACTTGATATTCAGAACGTGCTTCGAACAAATATGCGTGCGCGGACAGTTTTTTTTATCTTCTATATCTTGTACTTTCTCTTCTTCACTTTCTCTCTTTTTCTCTCCTTTTCAGGAAAATTGGGATAAAAAATTGTTAATTGAATTCTTCATATATCATTTTTTATATCTTATCTTAGCTTATCTTTTTAAGTTTTCTCTACAAATATTAGTGTTACGATTGTTTTTATGACATAATAACAATTTGATGTTGTAGTAACTCTCAAGAAAAATCAATCTTTTAGATGATTCATGAAAATATTTTCGTAAAGTTTCATATATTCTTGACAAAGGATGATGCAACCGCGATTGTCTATTCGTGATATTTATAATTATTTTTTTAAATTTGTGCATTTGCTCGCGATAAAATCTCCGCTCTAAAACGGACAGCTAAATGCGTAGCAGGCATAGAATTAAATTGCGCTCTTAACCCAATAAGAAGAAAATGAGATTCGCTTTATTCGAGTCTGGTCTATTCCAGTTCTAATCAGAAGAAACGAATAACGAGATACAAGAAACTTCATTTATTTCGATGTACACCGAGAAAGAGATTCACGCAATTTCTCACGATAATCTCGCTTTCCTAATGTTATAATCCTTGTTATAGTCCGTGAGACTCAGTCTCTCCCTCAGGGTTTCTTCGCATTCAATTTAACGGTATTTTTGCCCCAAGATATGAGACGTGGAAATTTTGGAGAATGATAAATTACATCAAGATTCTAGGGGGAATATATGTTATGATTTTGCCTCTGCGAGGCGAAGCGAGGCAAGGCGAGGCGAGGCGGTGGCGAGGCGACGGGACGCAAGGGTGAGTTGTGAACCGCAACTGCGCGATGGTGCGAATTGCGCGTTTTGCGAAGGGGGTGCCGGCTCGGAACGGCGAGTACGCAGTCGCGCGAGATTCCCCGGGAATCGGGTCTTTCCGGGTCTGCGACACGGTTTTCCCCTTACTCGGTTGACTTTGGCGCCTGTGATAGTCGACGACGCGACGGCGACGCTCACGGACTAGCTCGTTCGTTCTCGCAACAGGTGACGGGATCTCGACTCGACCAGGTAGGTAAGAGGCGACGACAAATTCTTCGACGAGTCCGGACAGCGGCTGCGATCCTCCTCGCGTGTAAGACACCCTCGAGGAATCCCGGAGGAGTGGGGTGGAAAGGGAGAACCGAGCCAAGAGATTCCAGAAAGAGTCGCAAAATGAGTGTCGAGGACGCCATCAATTACTCACCCAGCGAGGAGGAGGACTATTACGCTCTGTTATCCTGCGACGAGTCTTCCACGGTGAGATAGAGCACGTTGGAATAAATTTTCACCGCGCTTTAAAAGTCTGTGTGTTCCCGTTATGGATTGATCATTGAACGCGATAGTGTACCATTTGAGTTTTATCTCGCGGTGACGTGGTATCCGATATGACCATTGTGGTAAAAAAAATAAATTCCGACAATCGATCAATATGCAGGAAAATCTTCTATACAGAAAATCTTGAAGGAATTGAAGATATTTTTTGCGTCTTGTTTCTGCGTCCTGTTAGATAAATCGCGAATTAAATATCTGCGTATTTCATAGTACGATTTGTTGTGTCGCGAGAAATATTCGTTTTTGCATTCGTATCATGTTACATTATGTTGGATTTTCCGATCATTAACTTATCATTTCTACTTGTTTCCTTTTATAGAAACAGGAAATTAATTGTAAATTAGTAGCATTTGGATTATTATAGTTATTCAAAGGATTTCAGTTAAAATATTCCTCAAATAGAAAGTCGCAAATAATTGTCACTTTTTAATTCATTACAAAATAAACGCGTGATTACTTCTGTCAATCAAATCTCATACGTAATGTAGGCGTCGCCCGATCAAGCTTTCACGCTTAAAATATTTGTGCCGAAAAACAAGTTTATCGCGAAAATTTATATTTGTAAGGTTAAAGTCAGATATTATTTTGAAGTTGATGGAAATTATAATAAATGTAGAGATTTTACGCGTAGAATAATACCGTTATAATACCGTAATAATTTAATAATAAATTTAACAGAATTATAATTAAGAATTATAATAAATAATTAATTTTAATTTAAAGTATTTTTTAAGTATTCTAATGCAACGATTATGCAAAGTCATTTCCACGAAGTAATTTAATTTTCAACTATTATATTTGTCTGTTATATCAGAAACTAATATTATTCGTTATGGTTTAATTCAAGCTGTAATATAAATATTTTGATATCATCAAAATATAAAATTTATAATAATTTGTGAAAATTTTAATTGTCTCAATTTACCGCGAGCTTTAACGAGATATGTGTACAGAATTAATTTTCTACACCTACACTAAGATAAGTAAATTAAACGTCGAGTTGCTTGTGTAATAATTCGATCCCAAAAGGAAATTGCAATTTAAACTCTCCATTAATTGAATTCTCGATCGACACAATTAGGTGTAGTCTCATCTCCTAGTTTATGGTATGCTGAAGTAGCGCACAACAATATTCGTGCTTAAATCAAATCTTCGTCTCACATCGTGTATGAGATTGTTCTGATGTGTTTAAACACTTTTGTTATTTCGTATACGTCGTGATTTTGCAATAAAATAAATCGATGCACGAGAGAATCGTACTCTTTGCGATAATACTAATAAAATTGAAATGTAACGGATCATAAATATTAACATGGTTTAATTACGCATTCTTTATCAGCAATACATAAGTGGATATCAACAAATTCATAAAGATATACGATTGGAAGGTCATTTGCCTTTGTAAATCTGCAGTTTATATTTTGTTATCTCAATCGAGTTTTTGATAAGAATTCCGTACACATGCGGTCGATACGTCGCTTTAGCGTGTTCGTAATATCTCGTTTCCGAAATAATACGAACGTGATGTTATTTCAGACAGTCTGTATGTTTGCAAATCAGTTAAATATCAAAATATGGCGAAAATAATTAGATTTACAAATATCGGAAGTATATTACGGTTTGTAATTTCCTTCAAATTTTTATTATTTACAGTTTGTAAAAGTATTTATAGATATGTATATTGTATTTACAGATTGTAAAATTATACTATTATAAAAAATATATCAATAATTGTTTTAATTTAATAAATTTTCCACTTTTCTGATGTAATGTTTAACTATAATAATGCATATTTTAATTGAAAGAAAAACATAGAATACAGCAGAGAAGTACATAATCTCAAAGTGAAAGAAAATTAATCTTCATTCTCGCAATCAAATGATGTTATAAATAGTTTTTATTTAATTTTAAAAATCAGGTCGAGCAAATTACGGCGGAATATAAGGTATTAGCGCTTCAATATCATCCAGACAAGAATGACGGTGACAAGGAGGCCGAAAAGAAATTTCAACAGCTAAAGGTACGCTTCTTATACACAGGCAAAAGTTAATTAATTTTATCGATTTACAACCTAGTCAGTTTTAAACGTGCAGAGAGAAAGAATTTTACACTTTAATGTGTTTGTTTTTATATCGTAGTACGCAAAAGAGGTTCTATGCGATCCCGAAAAGAGGAGCAATTACGATAAATGGCGGAATAGCGGTATCAAGATCAGTTACAAACAATGGGTTGGCATGAAGGAGCATGTGCAGCAGGTGAGGCACGATAATTGGTACGCTATTGTCCATTTTGGACAATAAGCTGCAATTTATTACAGTGTAATTCGCTCTTTCAATATACATTGAAATAAATTAATCCTTTCACACGTATCGTCACTTTTATTTAATACAGCGAGTTTGTAAAACATGCTGATTCTCTCTTTTATCGCACATTATATTTAACAACTATTTGTATTAATAAAAAAATATATATAAAGGATTTGTAACTTTAATGATCAATTATACCGATTGTAGTAATTTATAGAAGAGGTGAGTTTATACAAATATGGGATTTTCTCTTCTTCATTCATGATATGCTTTCTTCAATCTGTTAATCTTTTGAAAGATCAGACTCAATAAATTTAGAATAGATTTTTTTTTTTCGCTAAAAATAGGGGCACATTGTAACAAAGCTTTAAGGGTCCAAAAATCCTTAATTTTACATTATATATATATTGTTATTTTGTAACGTTAATCAAGTCTTCCTCTGTTCACAGACCATGCATTGGAGCACGCCGAAGACAAAGGACAGAATGCTGCCGGATACGACCGAAGAGGCAGGTGGTTCACCAGCTCACCTCAAAGGTCATCCTACAAATGCGCACAGAAGGGCTTCAGAGGGTGGTGCCATGAATCTCTACTACCGTTCGAGCCACGGCGTTCCGTTCTATCAGGAGTCCAACGAGGTTGTCAGTAAGTTTCGCAATTACGAGATTTAAAAGGTCCCCAGCGTAATTTTCACCGGAACGGAAGTGGTCCACTGTACCGGATACACTTAAGACAGCGGGAAAATGTTACACTAGACAAATATCTACCTGTACCCGAGTGTACGAGATGTTGGTCGGATCGCGTTGGCGTACATACACGCGGGTTTCATGAAATGGCAAATCGAGGGATAAATTTCATCACCTGCCATCGCTACGTTTTTTTTTTCCTACCCCGCTACGTTCACATGCGATTGTGCAATTAGAAGATTTTTATTATCATTGCGTCACTTCGCGTCAGATTGCGAAACATGGCGATCTGTCATCGAGGGTGGCTTCGATAAAATCGTTTGAACGATCGCAAATCTCTCTTCAAGGAAAGACTCCGCGAAGTTGATAAATGTTAAAGAGTAACAATAAAGAGTAACAATCGTACGATTGTTCTGTTTCTGTCTTGAATGTATTAATGTATTAAATTACTTTTTTTTGTAAAGGATGTGCCAACCCGATCCAACAAACCACTTTGTACATGTGTACGTGCTCGCGTGCTTCGCGCGTACGTATGTGTCGCCTTCAGATTTATATTTTGTTATACTATATTAAACACGACGGAGAGGAAAGGATCGAGGAACGCGGGAGGAGGACGTTTGGTATCATTTAATATATAATCTCTTTCTGAAGTCTTCTCGAGTAACGTCCGACTGATCTGTTGCGTAAA